GAACCGCTAGAGTGCAAGGCATTGCCCCAAAGCAGATCCAAACTGTCACCAAGGACGTGGAAGGACCAAAATAGGCCGGAACCCACTGTGTAGTTACCCACTGCCCGCGGTTAAACCTCTCCCCCTTTTCCTTCCACGTTTGTTTGTTGCCATCGTAACTGGGGGCGTCACCAACAGAAATGCGGAAATAGGACAAAAAGAGGCCACGTCTCCAGCTCATTGATAGATTCAGCGCGCAGACGCATTAACTTTTCCTGGCTGTAGTTTGCAGCCGGTTGAGGCAGTTTGCGCCTGCGCATCAGCTACTACGCGGCTGGGCCGGCCAACCCGCCTGCGCACGTTGGCACGCTAGGGAAGGCGGAACTGGGCCACAGCGACGCGCACGCGCAAAGACTCCATCCGGCGGCGCCGTTGGATTCCCTAGGAAGCTTAGGAACCCGGACCGGAGCGACGAGCGAGTAGTCATGTCCGCCTCAGTAGTATCGGTCATCTCGAGGTTTTTAGAAGAGTACTTGAGCTCCACTCCGCAGCGTCTGAAGTTGCTGGACGCGTATCTGCTGTATATACTGCTGACCGGGGCGCTGCAGTTCGGTTACTGTCTCCTCGTGGGGACCTTCCCCTTCAACTCTTTCCTCTCGGGCTTCATCTCCTGTGTGGGGAGCTTCATCCTGGCGGGTAATGAGTCTAAGTAATGGCGATAGTGATGTGTAACTTTGGCGAGCTGCTTTTGTTCTCACAGTAGCCTTCTCTATTTTATTATATATCCGGCCGCTGTCCCGTGAGATCACGAGGAAAGTCTGCATTGCCCCCATTTGTGAATGGGGAAATTGAGGCCCAAAAGGTTGTTACATGCCTAATTCCAGACGGTTGCTGGGAAGCTGGAATTAAAATCCAGTGAAACCACTTTCGTGCTGCTGCCCGAGTTTCCAGTTCAGTTCATTTTTGTCTAAGACAACTCCGTTCTTCCAACTTACACTTAGCTTTACACAACTTTAAAGATGGTAGCTTTCAGAATGAAAAACCCAACCCTTAACCACCTTGGCCTAGGCATTACTAACTTTGGGAAACATATAAGGAAGGTAACGTAGATGTTTTACTTATTGAATCACCCTTTCCAAGATTTTAGCTTTTAGCTGCTCCTACTTATTTATAGTGAAAGAAGTTGCTAGTCACTTTCCTTAACTCAGTTTTAATTCACATAATTCTATGTTAGCTTTATTTTCCTTCTGCTTTTGTGCATTTGTGACCGGTGGTTTGCCATATTTAATGAGAACTGACCCCATAAATTTTTGCCAAAAATCTGACCTTTCTTGCCCAGGGATTTAATGAATACTGAGAACAGGCTTGGTGGAGGGAGAGTTACACAGTCCAGTTTATAGGTGGCCACTGCATGGACTGTGCTTGCTGTTTGACTTAGAAAACATTCTGGAGGTCATATTTTCTCTTCAATGTGACCATCACCAATCAGGCCATTAATTGTACTTTGAATAGGATATGATGTAAAACCATTGGAGATGCATCAGGTGCATCCTTATCCTCAAAGACTAGTCTAGTTGGGGCATAGAAAAATACAGCTGTAGAATTGTCTGGAAATTTCATTTACATTGATACCCTGCTTAAAGATACAGATCTGTACAATGCTTTTTATACATTCACATTGCTAGTTCAGACATACCATAAATACTTCAGCTAATGAAAATTTAAATAGGGACCTAAAGCCTTCTATACTAGCCTGATCTGGAGTTGCAGTTAGCTTGTTGATTATTTAATTAATCATCTTTGAGTTTTATTCTTGATGACTAGGATCCAGTTCCCCGTGGCAGCATCCTAGCTCTCAGGATATGCTCCCATCATTAGATAGATAGACTTCCCTCTTTCCTCTGTGTACACTCCTTTCCCCTGCCCTAGTACTGTTCATGACTAAGAATTTTATTAGGCAGTGCTCTTCATCAAGAAGGAACCTTGATGGGAACCAGCAGTTAGCGTAATGGCTATGTCGCTGGACTCCCACATAGTCGACCGCGGTTCGCGTCCCGAACCTGGTGGCTTAAAACTCACGCTGGGCGCGTGTGCGTGCGTGCCCAAGATCCCGAGAGGAGAATGGAGGAGAAGGGATTGCAGTGTGACCATCCCCCCTGGGGGGTGATTTCTCGCTTTCTGTCTCTATGTCTGTCTGTCTGGCAAGTGCACACGCCCTATAGCGAAAACCTCTCAAAAAAAAAAAAAAAAAAAGGAAGGAACCTTGATGAGAATCAGTAATTTTGTTTGATGTTTTGTCTCTAGGTCTGAAAAAATAGGAATAGGGTGGGATCTGAAAGCTAATTTAAAAACATAAGCTTTCTCCATGCTTAAATCACTTAGACTTCACAAATCCATAGGATTAAGAGTGACTTTGGGATTAGAAAAGGACGCATTGTTAATACGTGATGCTCTGTTAGGCTAACCCATGTGGGAGGGTTTCAGGTGTGCATCCCGAGACCTGTCTGAGTACTCATAGCCCCTCCACCAACACGGGCAAGTGTGTGACTGGTGTGCTCAGGGAGGTCCTGAATCCTCTGAATTTGAACTGCAAACTTTCCCACATGTGATTGTCTTACAGAGCATTGCTATGCCTTTATCTGACCATATTTTTTCTTATTTATTTGTTTTAAGTAAGAAGAAACTTAAAATTGGTGTTAGCATGTAGGATGAATTAGGGAAAACTTTATAGGTCTTTCCTAATTTCTTTCTGGTAGTCCTTATTCTTCCATTCCCTCTGAATTTGTTAATTTTGCGTATGTTCTTTAGATATTGATCAATACACTTTTATTTAGAATGTTAGACACTTTCAAAAGCCTGTGTTATTTGGGCTTGATGATATGAAAATGGTTTGTTTTCTTCTGTTCTCTCATGGCTAGGAGACTTAGGATTTCAAGAAGGAGCCACAGGTAGAAAATTGCCATGGAGAATTTTTTTTTGGATCAACATAGTGTATAATACAGTAGGCTTAAAAAGGAACTCAGAAATAGAATATTTTTCTTCTGTTAGGCAAATTTCAAACATCTTTAGCAGCTCACTATCTTGCTGTTAGATATCCTTAGAGAGGGAGGGACATCTGTATATTTTAGAGTAACATTCCAGATTTGGTAACTCTTCTAGTTTCCTTTTTACCTAGCTAAAATTTCTGCTCATGTAAGTGCTGATGAGTCACGGGGAAGTCATGATGCATTTTTGCATAGAAAAACAGAACAATGTGACTTTCCCGACGACCTAACATGAAGGAGAGCTAAGTAGAAAATAAGATTGTCCTTGACATAAGTCTTTGCTCTTGAAATCAGTTCTTAAGTTATTTCAAAACGTTGGTCTATTCTGTTCTCTAAGCTATATGAGACAATTTTGCCTTTTAAAAATAGTATTGTGTTTGGGACCAGCAGATGGTGTAATGGTTATGTCCATTAACGCCCACGTAGCTGACTGTGGTTTTTGAGTCCTGGGTCTGGTGGCTTGAAACTCATGCCCAGCACATGTGTGTGAGTGCCCAAAATCCTGAGAGGAGATTGGAGGAGAAGGAATAGTGGCATGGTGATACCCCCTGGGGGTGATTTCTCGCTTTCTGTCTCTCTGGTGAGCACACATGCCCTATAGCAAAAATCTCTTTAAAAAAAGTCTTGTGCTTCCTAGTTTACAAATCTGAAACAGAGGTCGTGTGGTGGTTGTGGCTCTGGACTCCCACAGGGCCAATCATGATTCAAGTCCTGGACCTGGTGGCTTGCCTTCTCACTTTCTGTCTCTCTGGTCAAATTTAAAATAATAATAATAATAATAATAATAAAAAATAAAGTTGAACAGATTAGCAAAAAAGGCAAAGAGGCCTGGTCCAGAATGTTTTCTGTCTTATAGGAGCTATTGGGCTGTGTGGACTGGGGTCCAGAATTTCTTTCTTTTTTTTTGCGCCTTATTTTTCAATTTTAATTTTGTCAGGGTTTTGCTATAGAATGTGTGTTCTTGCTGGAAGAGACAGAGAGAAAGACAGTGATAGGGAAAGTGAGAAATCACCATGGCGGAATGGCCATGACATAGTCCCTTCTCCCTTCTCCTGGGATTTTGGGCATGCATGCACACATGCCCAGTGTGAATTTCAAGCTGCTTAGTCTGGGACTTCCATGCTTGGCCTTGTGGGAGTCCAGTGCTTTAACCACCACACCACCTGCTGGTTCCCAGCATTTCTTTTGGAATTATCCGTTAGATTTGTCGATCCTATTAATAATGTCTGTCATAACTGATATCCAGGAGATTAGAAGTTTGCTACCCTTATGCTGATAGTCTTGTTTCTAAATATCTTTCATATCCATTGGTAACTTTTTATCCTTTGACTCAGGCTGTCCGTTTTTGTTTTTGTTTTTGTTTTTTTAATTTAGATTACTGAAATCCTCCCTCGTGGCCTTCCAACCTTTAGTCACTCTCCTTCCCGTCCATCTTCACTATGTTTACAGACTTGATTTGGCTTACAAATATGATTGTGTCATTCCTTACATAAATTTGTCTGTGAGTCCCAAAGTGATTTTCTTTTATGGCATTCTGTCAATAGTTCTTTCTTGATTTGGCCTCATTGGCTTTTTTTTAAAGAATTATTTATTTAATGTTATTTATTTATTTATTTATCTTTTTAATTTGACCAGAGAGGGACAGAGAGAGAGAGAGAGAAAGTGAGAAAGCAAGCATGCATCCATGTCTGGGACTCAAACCATGGTCGGCCATGTGGGAGTCCAGCACTCTTAACCACCATGTCAACTGCTGTCCCTGGCCTCATCAGAATCTATAGCTTCATCTCTTGCCTCTGTCTGCTCTATACTTCATGCTGCAGTCTTAGTTTTATTTTTTAAAGAATGATTTTATTGGACTATTTATTTATTTATTTATTTATTTTAATTTGACCAGAGTCGGAGAAAGAGAGAGAAAGTGAGAAAGCAAGCCACCAGGTCTGGGACTCTAACCGCAGTCGGTCATGCCGGAGTCCAGTGCCCTTAACCACCTTGCTACCTGATGGCCCCGCAGCATTAGTTTTTTATTTTTTATTTTTTTAGAGAGATTTTTGCTATAGGGTACATGTGATTGCTGGAGAGACAGAAAGATAGAAAGCAAGAAATTACCTCCCTGGAAGGGATGGCCATGCCATTCCCTTCTCTATTCTCCTCTTGGGATTTTGGGCATACATGTACACATGCCCGGTGTGAGTTTTAGGCCACTGGGTCTGGGACTTGAACCTCAGTCAACTATGTGAGAGTCCAGCAATCATTATGCTATCTGCTGGTTCCACTCCACCATTATTATTATTTGGTAAAGTTTACTTATTTGTTTCTTCCATGAGTGAGAGAGAGACAGATAGATACCCTCCAACGTGGTTCTCCTGCTCTGATCCACCCCTAGTCTTAGCCAACTCGGATCACTGGCATGTACATGTGCCCCTTGGTTTGCTTATGGAGGTCCAGGACATGAACTCAGGACCTTTCCCAAGTGGGTCCAGTTACATTACGGCTGTGCCACCATCTGGTGCCTGCTCTGGCATTAATGAGCTACTTAGTCCCTGAACATTTTTTGATGTCTCAAGCTCTTTTACCTTTGGTTGACTGTCTTCAGAATTCCTTCACTTTACTTGGACTTCTCAAGTGTTAGGTCCTTTGGGAATCCTTCCCTGA